TAGCACTGTCGCCTCACAGCAAAGAAGATCACGGGTTCAAACCCCAGTTGCCCCAGCCTTTCTGTGTGGAGTTTGCATGTTCTCCCCGTGTCTGTGTGGGTTCTCTCCAGGTGCTCTGGCTTCCTCCCACCATCCAAAGACATGCTAGGTTGATTGGTGTCTCTAAATTGTCCTTAGGTGTGAGCGTGAGTGGTTGTTCTTCTCTGTGTGGCCCTGCGATGGACTGGCAACCTGTCCAGGGTGTACTCTGCCTCACGCCCGATGTCAGCTGGGATTGGCTCGGTTGACGATGGATGGATTGTATGACAGGAATTTTAGATGAAACTAGGTTTTGGATAAAACAACATTTATTTTAATCTATCAGAGATGGAAACTGACCCGGGTGCCGTGAGATCTCTTCCGCTGTAGACCTGACCAGGCCCTCCCTTCTGTTCTCTTTAATGGTGCTATGAAATCCGAGACCACATACACACTCGTGGATTTTCTTTTACTGCGCCTCAATTTTGGCTCAGATTTGGATCTTCCCATCCTGCCATGTTGTGCAACTGCGCAGGAGCTTTTTTGGTCAATAACAAGCTCTTTTCTCCTTATCAGGACATGAGAAACATCTGTATTCTTAGCCTTTTTCCTATTACATAAATGTTTTGGACTGGCTATTACATTCCTAATCTTTTCCCTGGTACACTGCAACGTCTGCTTTCAACAGCTTATTTTATTCAAAGGTCTCTTTATCCTCAAAAGACCTGCTGTATCCGATACTAAACTGATTTTGAACTATATGTGAACATTTATGAACAGATTCATTACATTTCAGCTGGCAATATTGGACAGAGGATGTACTTCCCGCGGCAGTTCAGCCTGCCAAAGACAATGATGGTGCACTTCTACACCGCCATCATCGAGTCCATCCTCACCTCCTCCATCACCATCTGGTACGCTGCTTCCACCGCCAGGGACAAGGGCAGGCTGCAGCGCATCATTCGCTCTGCAGAGAAGGTGATTGGCTTCAATCTTCCATCACTTCTGGACCTGTACACCTCCAGGACTCTGAGCCAGGCAGGAAAGATTGCAGACGACTCCTCCCACCCCGGACACAAACTGTTTCAGACTCTCCCCTCTGGCAGGAGGCTGCGGTCCATCAGGACCAAAACCAGTTGCCACAGAAACATCTTGCAGTGGGACCCGGGTCCCCACAGTCACTGACTCTCATGCCCCCCTACTCCAATACACACACACTCACACACACTTTGCAACAGCGCTTAACTGTGCTTCGTGCTCATGTTGTGAACTTTTGCACATACTTCAGCATTGTATTATAGTACTATTGTAATTTTTGCATACTTTTTACTTTTTATATATTTCTATTTCTATTTATGTAATAATAAACCAGATTCTGAAAATGCGTCACACAACAAGACAACCGTCATTTTCAGTAGTTTTCTGACAGCTCACAAGTTTGAAATATTGCAGTAATTCAACAGTCGGCAGCAGACAGAGTGAGATAAAGAGCTGCAGGCGACAGGCTGCTCACCTCCACCTGCCAGCCAGGTAACCGACTCCTTTCACTTTGGCTGTTCACAGACTCATGTTGTGTGCAGCATAAAGACGGATCATGACTGCTCACATAATTATGGAAAATATCGAAATAACGAAAATAATAGTTTCACTCCTCAGTGAACTGCTTGGCTGCGGTCTGAGAGCATTTTCTAGTTAAGTAGGCATATGTAGATTTATCATCGTGATTCTGTTCACATTGACATAAGCTAATTAAAAACGTTCATTTTGCAAAAGCTGAAAATATTAAACAGTAATATGGCAAGTATTTTTGGAAGTCTGGCCCCCACAGTATCTGCTCAGAAAGATTCGGGCCCTTGAACAAATGCAGTTGAGGACCCCTGAAGTAAGTTAAACAATAGCCCACTTGTACCATTTCACTGATGGTTAAAAATAAGTTTTTATAGTTCGGAAAATAGCCAGAAAGACATTGGTTGTTGACAGTGTTGGTTGGCATTGGCAACCTGCCGGTAACTAATTATTTATTAAACTAATGCGTATGATATCGCATTAAAATGACCACCTGTTTGAATGTAAGTTGGGATTTGACTTCATATACTGTCCAGTCCAGTGTGGCGCTCCATAGTCTCCTCAAAGTCTCATCAAAGCAAAAACATTCTCAAAAATGCCTCTAACGTTGTTTTGGCAAAATATCTGTCAAACAAATGAAAACTATAAGCACAATATGGCTTTGTTCCCTTATCAAACTGCGAAAGACTGCAAAGATATTAAATCAGTATAATAAGTTATTTCAGGAGGTTAAAAAAGTAAAAGAGTTACTTTTTTTTTAACGTGAGTAGATTTTTATACCAGTAACTTTACATGTACTTAAGTAAAAGTTCGTCAAAGTACTTTTACTTGAGTAGAATATTTTTGTACTCTTTGCACCTCTGATTATCTTCTTCTTCTTCTTCGTACATATGTATTCAACGTAGTGATGAGTGTCTACACTGCCGGAATTCTACAAAAATTAGGAAAAGAAGAACGTAGTGAACAGAAATACAATAAATTGCACAAATATGCAAAACAGGTGTTTAGCACACGTAATGCAACTAATCCATGGCTTCATTTGTTGGAACAGGTCTTGAGCTAGTTTGTTGAGCGTCACGTTGGACTGCATTTTAGAAATATGGCTTTGTCAAAAGAATGGTCCCAATAGTTAAGAGATGAGATCGTTGCCCTTCATAAACAAGGAATGTTTCTAGAAACACCTTAGGAAAAATGTTTTGCATGTTCAAAGTGAAATTACAGTAGTTACACTACCTGCGCGGGACGGAAAAAGGAAGCTGCAACCAGAAATCTGAGAAGGCAGGTTGGGAAAAACCCTTGAGGGTCATGTGAAGCAAGACTTGATGGCAACAGGCACTGAGATTCATGAGCACAGGAAGGTGTGTACTGAAAGCAGATGGATTCCGCATTGTAAATCATTACAGCCCCAAGTAGTTACGTCCACTTCGAGAGCTCTGACAAAGTTTTGTATTTTGAACTCAACTGTGTGAGTTTTTGAAAGTTGCATTAATTCACTGTATTGACTATTTGAGGCTTTTGTCAGATATGTATGTGTTGATTGAACTTGAGGATGTAAATGATCACTTGCAAAGTGGGTGTGTGGGAGTTTGAGAGAAACACTATTCTTTAAAGCATGGCAACATGATCAACTAATTGAACTCCACTGCAGGTAAGACTAAAATATAGACACATTTGTGGTAAACAAGAAAGGACTAGTGCCACTGGTGGAGGGGTGACAATGGTCTTACATCCATCCATCCATCCATCCATCCATCCATCGTCAACCGCTTATCCTGCGTACAGGGTCGCGGGGGGCTGGAGCCAATCCCAGCTGACATCGGCCTTATACCTTGCATATTGAAATAAATGTGGAATTTAAATCATCTTAACTTAAAATGGAAAGTAGTATAAACATGGTTGAGTTGCTCTAACTTTAAACTGTTAGAATATTGCAGAAATGTATGTTGGTTAGACTTATAATTATTTGTTTTAAGAGTGGGTTCGGCTGGTGGGCGGGGTTCCTGGAGGTGGCATCCAGGGAAGTGGCCCCGTCTCCAGCTGGCTGTCATGCTCCAGAACATGACACCTCAAAGTATGAAGTTGAAACAAGTTACAAAAAGTTCCATCAACTACAAAAATCAATGTTGAACAGCAGGTGAACTTGCAACTTGCCAGAACTCCAAAATGTCCCTGCTAACCCAAACGCACAAGAAAAGTTGGCTCCAATATTCTCAAAATCACACAAATAAGCCACATTAAAAAAAGATCTGATGCCTGTTACAAATGTGGGACACAGGACAAGAGATTGCCCCAACAGGAGTGAGACAAACAAACAAACTCTGAATTCTAACTTCCTGTTAGACCTCTAATGAACAAAATGTTGACAGAATTTTAACTCAAACTACTATTTCCAAGGTCAACAATTAACCCTCAATGTCAAAAATTATTTTGCACTGGTTAAAGATATTATACTGATGTGAGATGTTTTACGAAGTCATTCCCTGTCTGAGTCATGTCAGAAACTTCCAGCCAGTTTTTCCAACAAGTGAACAAAATGTTTTTCTGTTGATGAAGGGAAGACAAAACTATCATTCCCTTAATGATGATTACCTGCAGATTGGCAGACAATGACCCAAATGATGTACAGTAGTAACAAAGAAAGATCAGTAAAGCTAAAAAACCCAAAGCAACAGTCGCTGTAAAATGTAAAATGTCACATCAGATGAATGCCACAGTATGTATGACATACTGGTTGCGTTGGTTGTACCCGTAAAACAAAACCAGCGAAACAGGGAAACATTAAAATGTCTACTCATCCTGTAGCATAGCTGCACATATTTCTCATTCTCACAGGTGTTTATAAAAAGGCGCTGAAGTCAAAGAGACATTCACAGCACTGGATGACATTCAAGCAGAGAATATTAACTTGTAAGTACTTCTACTTTTTCCTCTATCAAGCGATGCAATTTGTTTTAGATTAAACTTTTTTATTTGCAATAAACACTGGAAGATTTTTTTTATATTTTGTATATGTATATTAAAAGTCAGATTTCTCAAGTTTTTACTGCCCATTATATTATTATCCTAATAGAGTTTTTAATTGGCAATATAGTATATGCTGTATTTTATACGCTATACCTAAGAAACATGCAACATATTATTCTACCCTGTTTCATTGTATTCCAGTTGTTGTTTTTATATTTTGCATACAATTTAATATGAAGCACTTTGAGCTCGACTGGATGGATAGAAAGTTCTACAATTTTATTATTTAAACATTACTTTTTAATGGGAGAGGGTGGGAGTATTTTATTTGTTGGGTTTTATAATATATAAAAAAATATGAGCAAACTGTTAAAGTTAAGTCAGCTTTATCTCCTCAGTTTAAAATGCAAATAACCTTTTTCAGTTTTTCATTTCCTTGTTGAAAATAAACTATTTTTCAGTGAGCAGAGGAGAGAAACTATAACTGGATCACCATGATCGCAAAGATTTGTGTCGTCCTTCTTCTGTTTGTTGGTAAGAGAAACTTTCGTTCCAAATAAAGTTTTAAAATCAGTTTAAAATTTGGGACCAAATGTGAATCTGATCTTACATTTTCTGTTTTAAACAGCCTCTGGCAACACGGTCACAACCACCACGGCTCCACTGGATAACACCACAGCTCCACTGGATAACACCACGGCTCCACTGGATAACACCACGGCTCCACTGGATAACACCACGGCTCCACTGGATAACACCACGGCTCCATTGGATAACACCACGGCTCCACTGGATACCACCGCGGCTCCATTGGATAACACCACGGCTCCACTGGATAACACCACAGCTCCACTGGATAACACCACGGCTCCACTGGATAACACCACGGCTCCACTGGATAACACCACAGCTCCACTGGATAACACCACAGCTCCACTGGATAACACCACGGCTCCACTGGATAACACCACAGCTCCACTGGATAACACCACAGCTCCACTGGATAACACCACGGCTCCATTGGATAACACCACGGCTCCACTGGATACCACCGCGGCTCCATTGGATAACACCACGGCTCCACTGGATAACACCACAGCTCCATTGGATAACACCACGGCTCCACTGGATACCACCGCGGCTCCATTGGATAACACCACGGCTCCACTGGATAACACCACGGCTCCATTGGATAACACCACGGCTCCACTGGATACCACCGCGGCTCCATTGGATAACACCACGGCTCCACTGGATAACACCACAGCTCCACTGGATAACACCACGGCTCCACTGGATAACACCACGGCTCCACTGGATAACACCACAGCTCCACTGGATAACACCACAGCTCCACTGGATAACACCACGGCTCCACTGGATAACACCACAGCTCCACTGGATAACACCACGGCTCCACTGGATAGCACCACGGCTCCACTGGATAACACCACAGCTCCACTGGATAACACCACGGCTCCACTGGATAGCACCACGGCTCCACTGGATAACACCACAGCTCCACTGGATAACACCACAGCTCCACTGGATAACACCACGGCTCCACTGGATAACACCACAGCTCCACTGGATAACACCACGGCTCCACTGGATAGCACCACGGCTCCACTGGATAACACCACGGCTCCACTGGATAGCACCACGGCTCCACCCACAACCACTGCCACCTCCTCCGCCCTCATCAACAAAATCGGTCTCATTTCGGTTGTTGTGGCTGTGATGACACACGTACTTCACTCAAGGTGTTAAGTGCAGTTCCTATCTTGTTAATTAGCGGTTAAAAAAATAAGACAGGAGGATTTTAGATGCCTTAAAAAAGTTAAAAGGCTGATTTATTTTCTTGTTTGTGTACGGATGTTGGGTGGTTTGCGTTTTTACTGTTAATCCCTGACATGACGTGTCCCTCCAGGAGGTGTCTTTAATCAATATAAATCTGTGATGGGAGGACTCTGAAATGTTATTGCCTGTAAATGAATCTTCTTTTTGTTTGTAATTACATAATTAAGACAATAAAGATTTTGCAAAGTCATTCTTTAATGTTTTCACTAATGATTAATATTTGTTAAATCTTTAAAAAAAAATATAAAATTGTAGTATTTCTTGACAAAAAAAAGATACAATTACAATTTAAGTTGGATTACATGTCACTTACATTTATTATGAACCTGTGGGTGTGGCAAGATCAGGTCGCACTGACTAACATTAGCCACCATGAGCTGCTGGTCATACCAGGCAAAGCAAGGCAGCAAAACCCCTCAGTGTGTTGAACAGAGCAAGAGTTCAACTTTTCATTTGCAAGAGGACAAGGAAGTGACTTCTTCATTCAAGAGTAACAAATTCTTACTTTAATCATCAATGCTTGACTTTGGAAATAGTAGTTTAACAAAGAATAGTGAGTAGACTCTGATTTGAGAGGAACCAGAGTGAGAAGGGACAAAACACAAAGAAAAAACTACCAGCATGACAAAAAGAGAGGGAAATCAACACAGCTGTATTTCACACACTTGACTTTCATGATAATGTGGCAACTTTTTAAGACCATTCGCTGTTCCAATATTAAATATTTCTAATATTGAATCAAGCTCAGTAGTTTATTGACGTAACATAAAATCTAGTAAGAGTTGGTTTTCTTGTGTAGTAAAATCTCTTTGTTACTATAATAATGACATTCTCTCAATATGATAGAGGAAATGTTGCATAAATAGGATGATTTCCTTAAACTATTATAATATCTTCTTTGATTAGCATTTGAAGCAGCGACAGAGGAGCATTCATGTAAAACAGATTTTACCGCTACACCAACATAAAAGTCCTGCATCACTGTTTTCCTCTGAACAGATTTGTTTGCACAGTTAATTTGCAAGTCAACTTTATTTATCCCATACAGTGTTATTCTCACATTGCAGCCAGACAGTTCATCACTGTAACACTGAATGAAAAACCCAGATGGCAGTGACATAGAAAGAAAAAGCTCCCATCACAGTCTCTACAGTTGATTTTGTTTGTTTCACAAATGAAGTCTAACATGTGAAAAACATATGAGAGAATAATGAACCCACTAAAGAGAGAAATCATACGTCATTTTTATTTCTGCAAAGTACTAGCAGTCAGTTTTTTTCTCTTGAACTGTCAGTAACCATGTGATTCACTCAACAACAACGACAACAATGAAACGTTGTCATCACATTTCAACTGAAGTGACGTGTTCATGAGTTACAACATGTTCCTGTAAGAAACTATTCAGAGGTGATCTTTATCTATAAATCTCTAAATATATAATAATGCAAACACAGGTCGCTTATCTCATCCAGCCTGTGGAGCCACAGAGCTGCAGAAATCACTGACTGAAGGCTGAACGTTGTCTCCTGACCCGACAGAGACACAACCAGAGATGTTCAGATGTAGAACAGCTGGACTGAATTCAAAGGAAAGAACAGTCCGACATTTACTCCTGTCACCCAGAGTCCGAGGTCTGAGATCTGTCCAGGACGTGGTTAGCCTAGCTCCATCAAAAGAGACAAATTTAATCATTTACAGCCACATAAATCACAAACAATTACTTTTGGGCCGTCATTACAAATGAAGAACTCTCCTTTTAGTCATCTTGGAGTCTGGATGGCTACTTTTCTGCAGCATCAACACATTGTGCCACTCTGACGCCATCGTCTGCATTAAGGAGGTCAAGATGTAAAGAAATCAAGTCCTTTGTTGGGTTTTTTAATGGAAGATTATGTCAAACTGTTTCCAATAGAAATGTATTTGTTTACAGCATAAATTGGAGTATCTGAAGAAGAAAAAGCAATGCAGATTACTGCACCACAATCAAAATAATGTCACTGCAATGGATGACGTTTTTGTAGTTTGGTGAAAATCCAACTTTTGGACAAAATTGTTTACAGGAGAATTTTTAGCGATAACTCTCAACTAAGTTCATGTCCGTGTTTTGTGAGTGACAACAATGTATTTAACCATGTTTTGGCCAGTTTGAGGTTTTGAAACACAACGTTCTTACAGATGGACAGAGGAGAAATTATAAATAGTACATCTAGCTAAATAACAGTTATATTTTGTTTGAGAGGTTTGATCTGTGGATATTTTTTTATATAATTCTGCAGTGACGACTTGTGATTGTGAAGTTTTTATACTGTTTCATGTTGACCCCTCCGCAGAAACTAGAAATGTTGTGAAACTACTTGTTGCATTTATATATGTACATTAACTACATATGACCATGTTTGGTAAACAAAACAAAAAAAACTGCTGTGTTTTATCTGTTTGAATGAATCAGAGTCCTTCCTGCTCAACAGACAGTGATGCAAATGCTGCTGGGAAAAAGAAGAAACTGTCGTCAACAACCTCTGTTTCTGCTGACGAGAGAAACTGTAAATGACTTCGCTGTCAGCGGTCATCTGTCTGTGACTCCAGCTGATTAAAATCGGCCCATTCCTTACGTAACACAGACGAGCTGTGGGTCTGTTCATCAGAATCTGTTTTGAAAACAGTAATTTAATATTTTCAGTGATTTACATACAGGTACAAAAAAAACGAGATAAATTCACTTTACATTTCTAACATTTTTCTGTGTGTAAACAGTGAGACTATCAGGTAAATCTTTAGTGATAGTGGCTTAATATTCATTTATGTGTCATTTTGCTTATTTTTTTAGTTCCTGGCAGATTTAAACTTGTTAAATTGACACAATGAGAAGTCAGGCTTTTATCTGACTTTGTGCTCAGATACCAGTGTGGGGTAAGAAAGGTGCTAAATAAAGACAAAAATGACGGCATAGAAATGAACCACATGGACGTGGACTCCAGAGGTAATGTCTCATTTAGGCAGAAACACTTTCAGATCGCCTCTGCCAGATGTCTGCAGTCTCTTCTTGTGCTGAAAATGAACATGAACAAGACTACAAAGTTTGCACACCTGCCATGAGAGGTGCGAAGAGGTGAAAAACAAGTGCCTCCTTTTCCCGTCCCTCTTAGGAAAATACCGTTTAGTATTTTCTCCGTTCCTTGTTAATGAAATAAACAAACGTACCTGCAGAATTCAGATTGTGTCTGAGTGCAAACGCAACAAACACACCTAAATATACCAACCGATTATCAGCAGCTGCATGTTTGTGATGACAGATACTCAGTTAGCCATGACGCTAATCTGTCTCTGCCACACAAACAAATGTGTAAAAGTGATTATTAGTAGATGATCACATCACATACAGTATTTATAAAGATGTTTAACAGTGTGCGGGAGTTTACTGATGTTTGAAACGATCCCGTTTCTTCTTTGTTGATGTGACAGCTTTAAATAAGGTTGAATAAAATTCTTCAATGTTCCTGCTTCACGGGGAAAAATATATGATATCTAAAATTTAGACACATCTGGATGATTATTTTTCAACACAATAAATCTGAACATTTCTCCCTAAAATAAAACAGATTAATCAAGAACTGCAGCCTTGATTTTGTGTCGCCTGTCATTAATTTTGCTGTAAAAAGTGAAATAGTGATTAAGGAAATCTTTATATCAAATTGTTAAACAAGTGTTAAATTGTTAAATCAATGTGACAAACGAAAACGTTACTGTTTAAAAGGCTGCAGTTAATGTACTATGATATAATAACCAACAATAAAATTGAATCACATTGAATTATTTAAAAGGCCAATGACAGAAGGGACAAGTTTTAAGTCTCTTTGTCCTGCAATTTTAACTTGAAATAAGTTATTTTAATCCACTTAAAGAGAAAACTACCTAAAACGAAAGCAAAAGCAACCAAAGCAAAAGTGCAGAAGCAACGTGGAGGCAGGGAGCATTCAGGTACGCTGATGCATGGACACAATAGCAGTGGAACATCTAATATTAATCATGAGACACTGTTTGAATGGGTGTTCAGCTTCAGTGACACCAGCATTTCATCACACACACACTTCCTGTGATGATTCACATCTTTAAACACTGAACGCTTGTTACACTAACTCAGTTTTTAGAAGTAAACATGATGCAACGACCCACTAAGTGTCAGTAAGGGTGAATGTCTTCCGTTTCTCGTTAACAACTTTGTGTGACAGCTCTTATGAAAGCCAAGAAAAGATGAAGACGTCATCGTGATAAAGAATGAAAATGCTCATGTTCACATTTTTTATGACAAATAAGGAGATAGTCGGGCAAGTAGTCAAGACGTCACGTCACTGACTTGATTCTGTGGTTTGTGGTCAGTGACGTTAACTTGAATAAAATAAAATGTGAAAATACAATAAGTGTGTGACCAGTGTTGGGAAAATATTAATTTTCCCAGTAACTGCTAGTGTTACTTTTCCAGAACAGTGATATTATTACAGTTACTAATCCAAGTAACGCTGCGTTACTGTGTTACTGCGTTACTGCGCTGTTCATGCTGTACGTAGACACTGCGGTTATTGTCTAAGATGCAAAGAACATCGTCGTACGTTGTAAACTTTGTGCGACCAGCCAGTAGCTTTCAACCACGAACAATACTACATTTACTTTATTGAAGCATCTGCTGAAGCAGCAACGTGAAACTTAGACAAAGAAACTGCCAGTGATTACTATATAATATATATACTATATAAATAGATGTGCAGAAAAACAGTAGTTCAAAAGTCGGGATTAACGTGCTAGTTACTTTTATCACCCAGTAATAATAATAAGAAGACTTTATTAATCCCACAAGGGGAAATTCAGTGTTCTCACTCTGGTGTTATTAGTGTACACACACAGGTCTGAAATACACACACATGCAACAACACACCTCCGTGATGTTGCATGTGTGTCCAAGTAACGCCGGCGCCTCCAGCAGTTGGGGTCACCTTTGGCAGGGCCCAGGTGGCACCGCTCCAGCTACCGGTTCACGCTCCACAACTCTGGTCCGAGCTGGACTCGAACCTGCGACCTTCCGGTTCCTTGCCTAAAAGTGGACGCTGGTGTGT